CAACATGAGGATGACAAATTTTCTTCTGGTGTTACAACAGAATATAGAAAAGGGATCAAAAATAAAGTGTGAAGTATAAAGAAAAAAGGCGTAATGCAACAAACTGAAGTTAAAGTATGGATTAAAAAAATACTAAGAGGGGACCTCCCTGGTGGCGCGAGGGGTTAAGCACTGCACTGTGAAGCAATCTGAAGCCTCTGCAGCACAAGTTTGATCCCTGGCCGGCCAGGGAAAAACCCACATGGCGCAGCAGACCTCTCCTGTCTCGCCCTCTGCTCCCCTCAGCAATGCACTTCGGTCAATCTGCCTATTCTGTTCCCCATTGTCTCTGGCGAATCCTCTTATCCCCCACCCCCACATCTCTGGCCTGTGCCCCAGCTCTTGTATGCATAAATAAATAAATCTTTAAAAAAAAAAAAAAGTACTAAGAGGCAATGAATGTTCATAGATACAACATCATAGAATACTACTCCTTAACAATTTTTACTACTGCGAGAATCTATAGACTTCAAGAACATACCCTCAATTTTGTTGTATGGGAAACTTGAATATAGTGGTTTTCACATGTGGATAATGTATGGATAAATTATTTTCTAAAAACTTATATACAACTGCCATAATTAGTTTCAGATATCCAATATAGTAAGTCAATGTTTGCATATATTGCAAAGTAATCATCACATAAACACATTTTCTTGTGATTAACTTTTAAGATGTACTCTCTTAGCAACTTTTGAATATGCAATACAGTATGAATAGTTGGCATGCTTTATATTACACCCCCATGACTTATTTACAACTGAAAATTTGTAGTGTTTGATCCCCCTCCCCGATTTTGTAATCCCTCCTCCACTTTTGTCAACCAATCTGTTCTATGAATTTTTTCATAGAATTTGTTCTATGAATCTGATGGAAAAAAATTCCATGTAAGTGAGATCATGAGGCATTCAAGCACATTCACAAACCAATATGACCCAACATAATTCAAATGACCACTTTGATTAATAGAACTGATATTTAATTAAAAAAAACACTCTCCCTAGTGATAGCAAACATGTCACTAACTACTAAGGTATTTTTCACAGTCTATATATGTTTTGTGATAATTCAACTCTCAATCTTTCCCGTCTGACAGTACTGTGAAACCACTAAAATATCTGGCTATCTTTAGCAAGAAAAGAAACATTAAGTACATTTGTTCTTTTCTTAATTGAACAATAACAACTCTAAACCATACTACTATTTGCTATTAACATCATCTTAAACACAAATGCAAGTTATAGCATGTCACCCCAAGAAAATAAAAGCAACAAAAAAGCAGTAAATATTAGCCATTTATGTTAGTTATACAGAATGATGTTTTAAGTCCGTTATACTTAATAGGTTCATTGGTCCTCACTTTACAGTAAAGGAAACCAAAATTCAGAGCTTAACTAATTTGTCCATACAGCTAGTGAGCAGCACAGGCCAGAATAAACCCAAATAGACTGTTGTGTTCTTAAATGTTTTAACATATTCAAATCAGCTTTTGTTAACATTTTTAAAGATTATAGACTCTTCAATAATGGTAATGGGTTGTTACTGAAAAGATCATTTATAAAGAGGATAAAAAACTTGTTTTACATAACACCTTAAAGTATTTAAACACCTTAAAGTATCTCTTAAAGAGATTTAAGACTATAAAAGTATTTTAAAGGGTAATATTAATGATTTGATAAAATCAGATTTTAATTTAATGAAGTTAATCAAAAGGGTCTGGGTACTTTAAGGTTAAAGAACTATAAAAATATTTTAGCATGGCAGAAATTTTCCAAGTTTGACATGAATCTGCAAAACTTTAGAGAATGAGAGACTGAATCCCTATTCTGGGAGAGGCTGTAAAATAATTCAGTGGTGCAACTTCTCAACATATACAACATCATGGTACCATGGAGCTGGTCGCTATAGTTCCCAAGCATAGTGTATGGGGAAAATTTCTGACTGAGAATATACTTCTATATAAATAAAAGAAGTAGAGAGAAAATTAATTTTGAAGTTTTGTTTTGGTGAAATCCATGAACTCTATGAAGCAAGGAGCAATTGAACACTAATGACACGTTATTTCAGAAGGAAAAAACATATATAGAAACAAAATTAAAGCAAGAAACCAGTAAACAGGCCCTCTCTGGTGGTGCAAGGGCTCGGGACACAGCCTATGGGGCTATTTGCAGCCACTGCAACACGAGTTGGATCCCCGGCCAGGGAGCTACCCACATGGCGCAGCAGACCTCTCATGTCTCGGCCGCTGCTCCCCTCAGCAGTCTATTTCAGTCGATCTGCCTGTTCTGTTTCCCACTCTGTCTATGGTGAATCCTCTCACTCCCTACACCTCTGGCCTGTACCCCAGTTCTTGTATGCATAAATAATCTTTTTTTAAAAAAAGAAACCAGTAAACAAACATTTTATGTAAATATACACTTTTTTTTTTTGCTTAATATTTTTTCTACGTAATGTGAAAGCAAAATTGTAAAGAATATATATTGTTCTGTTATGGGAAGACATAGGATACTGACTTAAAATGCAGAAGAATTTTAAAGCTAAAAAAAATCTTTTAATCCAGTCTGTTCTAATTTCAGATGACAGAGGGATAAAAGCCCTTCTAGTTCATGCAGTTGCTTAGATATCTACAAATGTCCAATCAACTTATCCACTAAAAAAAAAAAAAGCAGTGCCAGATGAGGGGGCAGCAGATTCAATTACATGAAGTGTAGAGATTTAAGACTATAAAAGTATTTTAAAGATATCAGAAGAAACACACATAAATTATTTTAAAAAACATCAAAAGACCAATGAAAATTACTCTTCTACATTATTTTTGTGTGTCATAGACCTTTTGTCCACTCATAGAATATCATCTCTTACATTTTTCTCAAACTAAAAAGAAAAAATTACTCCCAAATCTTCAAATGTGCCTATCTTAGATTATGTTGCAATGTCAAAGAAAAGTAATTAAAGTGACACTTCAAAGTAAAATTGATAGGTGATATGTGAAAGTTTGGTATGGTATACACTAATACTTGGGTATTTTTCTGAAACATTTTTTGATGGAGCAAACAGTGCCAGAAAGAAAAGTGAATGACAATTTGAAAGTAACCCCTAAAGAGATCTGTTTTCATCATCCATGTATGGGTTAGCAAATTTTCAGGACTGCATTATCAGCACACTTTTATATTTAAGTAAAACACACACACACTCACACATAGATGCAAGAGTAAAAAATTTTAATGACCACATTCCCGTTCATTCCAAGCGTGGTCTTGTAAACAGTAACAGAGGTTGGACTAAAGTATTCTCACCAAACGCTTACTGATGTATCTGATTTAAAACAAATTTTTATATATTTTTTTTAATATATCAACATCATGGCATAATGCAAAGAAAAACCTGGCTTACCAGAGAAATATTTATTTAGAAAAACTTGAGAACCATTTAACTACTAGAATGGGGAAACTGAAAACAAAGGTGGGGAAACTGAAAACAAAGGTGGAGAAACAACCAGGTGTGAAACACTAGCAAAAAACCAGTATTTGCACAAAAAACTGTTGTGATAATGACGACATCCATTATTCAAACCTTGGAACAAGGGTAATACTTATTTATGCTTCAACGACTTACACACAATAAAATACCAAGTTGAATAACTGCATGTAAGAGGAATAAGGATATTTTTAAAAAGTTTGCATTTTCCAGGACTTCAATTTAAACTAAATGAATTAATCACTATATATCAAGTATCATGAAGGCAAAATTTTTATTGGTCTGCAGTTGCTACTGCAGGGGAAGACTTTTCAGCAGTCTACTCCCCAAAGACAGAGGGACTGCAAATTTTCATTCCGAAGAGGTCATAGGTTCTTCACTGCGGGAAAACTGATCCTAACATTTCATGTCCTAGTGTCTTAAATAACCATGGCAATGCATCAAAACGACAAGGAATTCTGCAAAGAGCGTCACTGACATCTCACGGCCTCATAACCCAATCAGAACACCTTGGAAGGGAAAAGGGCTGTGCGTATTATGTGCATGTATGTGTCTGTTTGCAAAGCGCATATGAGAGAACTCGTATCTGCAGCACAACTGGGCGTGTGAATAGGGTGGTGTGTCATACTGAAGGCGAAGGCGAGGGCTACCGGCACAGGAAGGGCTGCGAGTGTGACTCTCCAAAGAGATGAAATGTGTGCGCCCGGCGGGGTCTCTGAAAGCTGCTTCTAGCTACCGCAGCGCGATCTAGGAAAAAGCAAGATCTAGTGACACAGATTTACAAAGAGGCGAGCAGGTGAGCGCTGGATCCTTACGCTTCCCGCGGCCAGCGCATCCACATGCAGAGCAGGCGCAACACCTGCCGTATGAATGAACGCGGGGCAAGGACAGCGCTGGGCTAGGGAGGGAGGCACGCGCCTGGCCAGGTCCTGCGGGCAAAGCGTGGAGGGCTGAGGCGAGGGGCCGAACCCTTAGCGTCAGAGGCAGAGAGATGGCTGCGGGGCTCGAGAAGGCACTGACCAGAGAGAACTCGGTGCCGGGCCAGTTGACTCGGAAGGGGATGTCGTCGCTGAGCTGGGGGAGCGCTCGGCCGCCGCCGGACGCCTCCAGGAGGCCGCAGAGAACCAGTAACACCGGCCCGCCGGGGACCAGACTCCGCGCGCCGCCGCCTCCTTCCTCCATCCTCCGCCGCCGACGTCTCCAGCCGCCGCCACAACCTCCTCAGCTCACAGAGGGGAGGAGGCGGGGAGGAGGGGCGGCGGCGGGACTGCTAAGCGCCCGGGGAGCCTAGGACCCAACCGCCGCCACGTCTCCTTCCGGAGAGCCCGGCAACGCCGCCCCCGCCCCCTGGGCCTCCGCCCCCGCTTCCGGGGCAGCGCGCATCAACATCCGGGGCCGGCGGGCCGCCGTCTACGGAAGCCGGGAGGCCGGCCGGGCGTCGCGCGTTGCTCGCAGCCGCAGTCGGCTGATTGAGAGCGGGCGCCGCGGCCTTCCGGAGGGGCGCCCGGAGCGGGCCTCCCACCAGCCTTCGCGGCGGAGACGGGTCGGCACCGAGAGCGGTGAGTTGGGCGGGCGGCGGCCGCTTCCCCCGCCTCCCTCGCGGCTCTCCCGCGGGTGGGCGGGGACTGGGCTGGCTCGGCCCCGGGAGCGGGAAGGGGAGTGCGAGCCGGCGGCGCCAGGTGAGGCGGTGCCTGGGGGCGATGGTGGTGTTCCCGGCTGAGCTCCACGCGCTGCTTCGCTGTTTGCTTTTCTCTGCGTGTGGCGTCTGTGCACTTCACCTTTCCCGCGGGAAGCTTCTCTTCGCCTCTTCTGCTGGGGCTCGGTCCTCGGCAGCTGCTGGCTAAGGCAGGGTACTTTGCTCAGTGTCTGCAACCCTGGTTCAGGGAAGACCTGAGCTGAGGAAACCTGCCGTCCTCCCCACTGTGGGAGCACCGTGAGTCTCCAGAGTTGGCATGGACGGAGACTTTCCTCGTGGGGTGGGGTGCTAGATACTGCAGACCCTAAATTTTGACCCCACTTGGTCATCCCAGATCGGAGGAGTTTTATGAAGGGAAATGATAGGTATCCTAACGTGAGATTCAGAGCCGGGTGAATGTGAGATTGTGAACTTCCCTGACGTTAAGATACATCTGTCTGTATTAAAAAGTAAAACAAAAAGTTTTGGGTTCTCCTCTCTCTCTTTAAAAAAAATGCCACTGCTTTAATTTCCACTATAATGATACATATATTACATATATACTATATGCACATGTATCACCTGTCATTCTCTTGGTGGTAAATGGGAAAGGCTAGACCTTGCTAGATCTGCTAAACATCATTTTCCTTCCCTCACCCATTTTTTTAAAAATATTTATTTATTTATGCATACAAGAGCTGGGGTACAGGCCAGAGGTGCTGAGGGTGAGAGGATTCACCAGAGACAGAGTGGGGAGCAGAACAGGCAGGCTGACTGAAATACACTGCTGAGGGGAGCAGTGGCAAGGCAGGAGAGGTCTGCTGCGCCATGTGGGTAGCTCCCTCGCTGGCCCAGGATCGAACTCGTGCTGCAGTGGCTGTGGACAGCTTCATAGGTTGCGTCTTAACCCCTTGCACCACCAGGGAGGCCCTCCCTCACCCCTTTTCAATCAAATTAAAAAGAGCAGTCCATTTTTCACCTTAACATTTTTTTATAAACACGAGAAATCTGCAGTGTCTAAGAAAATGTTTTTATTCCAGAATTTGGGTTTCATTCATTAATTTATTTAGTATATATTAATTAATTAATTAATACAAATAATTCCTGATATATACTAGACCACTGGAATTGGTAAAATGGCAAATAAACAGCTCTTTGTCTCCTGTTTCTGTCTAGGAACGGAGATTACACAAACAATTGCAAACCTATTATGGTTGTAATAGTAGTTAATGTTTATTTATAAATCATTTACATTCTGCTGAGCACTAGTCTAAGTACTTTATATATTTTATGGGACAGTAGAGGGTTGCTAGAATGGAAATATAAAGAAGGAAATGAGGCACTCTGAGATTTGGTCAACGAAAGCTTCCCTGGAAAGGTGACATTAGAACTGGGACTTTAAGGATTTATGGGAATTTATCAGGCAGGTGGGGAAGTACATTTCAAGTATAATTCTTATAGATGGTCCATTATATCATTTTGATGTGGTTCGAGGACAAAGTGGAATGGAATCATTATCAGGAGTGATGGAGAACAGAAGCGGTTAGTTCAGGCAAGGTTGCATATGCCCTGCAGAAGTATTTGAACTTTATCCAATAGATCGGAATTTCTAGAGGTGGTAGACTTTTTCAGTGGATTCATTTGAGGTGACCCTATTTTTTAGGTATACAAACATTAATTCCAGATGGATTAAGTATTTAAATGAATAACAAAAAGAAAGTAATAGAAGAATGGAATAGTTTTGGTAAGTAAGATAGGAAATCATAGCCCTGGGTTAGTTGCTGGGGCTCTAGTGATAGACTCTGCCACAGAGCTTATTTGCAAGTCAGATTTCTTTATCTAAATAATAAGAGTACTATGTCAGCAACCCTGCAGCGATAAAGAAATGGGAGTCATGGAGCAGGCTGTGGGATGTAGAATGCTGCTGAGAGTAAGATCTTGGCCTTTTTATTGACAAAGAAGGGTGGGTCAAATGGAACACTGGATTTTGGCTTTAGAGAGGGTGAGTCCAATGATATACACCCAACTCCCACCCATGGCTCCAATCTTATTAACAAGGCATTCCACTGATCAGTCCCTAGTTCCACTGGCGTTCCTGGTCACATACCTCTGGATGTCTGCCTGTTGCCTCAGGGCGATCAAGTGTCTTGCTGTTGCCTAACTTGAAAGAAACCTTGTAGGCTATACCCACATGATAGGGTAATTTCTGGTAGAGCAAAATGCTTGCAGAGAAACTAGGGTTGAAAAGATAATACTTTTGGAGTGTTCTGCTTCTGTAGATGCTTAGAGTTAACATCTGTGAAGAATTGACACTCGAGCTGTGACTTGAAGCGATGAGGAAGCCCCATAGAAATTTCTATGCAGAGGATCGCAGGTAGGGATGAACTTGATGTATTGGAGGGACAGAAAGAAAGCCAGTGTGGCTGGACTGTAAAAGGAAAGTAGAAGGAATATCACATTTCAGAGGCTAGAAGAGGCCAGCTGAACACAAAGCTCTAGGCAGAAGAGTGACATGGCCAGATACACATTCATGAAAATCATTATGGCAGTTGTATGGAAAATTATAGGGGATGTTAGGGCTGAATTGTGTTCCCAAATAGAAATTATATCTTAATACTTGTTGCCTGTGAAGTTACTTGGAAATAAGGTCTTTGCAGATAAAATTTGGACACATAGATTGGCTCATTGAGAATGTGCTTTGTGAAGCTGGAGGAAGAGATTGAAGTGATGCTTCTACAAGCCAGGGAACACTAAAGATTGTGAGTAACCTCCAGAAGTCAAGAAGAGACAGGTAGGTAGTATCTTTCCCTCCAGGTTTCAGGTGGACTAGGCCCTACTTTTAGCTTGATTTTGGACTATTTGCCTCCAGAACTGTGAATCAATTCCGTTGCTTTAAGCTATCCAGTGTGTGGTAATTAGTTATGGCAGTCGTAGGAAATTAATACAGTGAGCAAGTGTAGTAACAGGGAAACCACTTAGGAAGTTGGCAGCAGTGAAGATGGAAAAAAGTGACCTGATTTGTATATATTTTTTAGATAGAGCAATTTGAACTTGTTGGTGGATTAGATGTGACATTTTCTTAGAGATCAATTAATGATGATGCCTACACATTTTTCATGAGTGACTGATCGTGTAATTTCTGAAAGAGGGAAGACTGATAACTTACTAAAAGAGGAAAAACAGCATATAGACTGATGGGAATCTTTTTATTTTAAAGTAATTTAAAATTTACATAAAAATTGCTGGAATCAAACTCAGATTCCCTAATAGATGTTTTGATTCCGATAATAACAATTTACAATAGTAATCATTATAAACATCATCATCAAAAATCCTCTTGGAGGGCCCCCCAGGTGGTGCAGGCAGTTGAGCGCAGCGCTGTGAAGCTGTCCACAGCCTCTGCAGCGCCGGTTCGATTCCTGGCCGGCCAGGGAGAATCCCACATGGCAAGGCAGACCTCTCCTGTCTCACCCGCTCCCCTCAGCAGTGCTTTCGGTCTGTCTGCCTGTTCTGCTCCCTGGTCTCTCTCTGGTGAATCCTCTCGCCCTCCCGCGCATCTGGTCTGTACCCCGGTTCTTGTATAAAAATAAATAAATCTTAAAAAAAAAAATCCTCTTGGATATGCTATAAGTTTTAGATATCAGTTGGATATCTAAGAGCAGCTGATCAATTGTTTAAGTAAGTCTGTAGCTCAGGGGGAGTCAGGGGGGGAGTTATAAATTTGGATCTTATCGGCATGTAGATGTAATCAAAGTCATGGTACTAGCTGAGAATATATAGGGAAAAAAGGAGGATGACAAAGGGAAGACAAGTGTTAACAGAATGGACTGAGAAGGTGTACCCAATATAGAAGAAAGAAAATCAGGAAAGGGAGTTATCAAGGAAGTCAAGAGAAAGCAGTGTTTCAAAAAGGAGGGAATGAGCAGCTAGCTCAGTCAAATGCTGAAAAGTTTGCAAGATGAGGATACAGAAGTAACCATTGGATTTGGCAGCATGAAGGGGGACTAGAGAAACATGGGGCTTGATGGTATTAGGCTGAAGTGGAAGACGTCCTATGTATATATTGAAATAAAAATGATATGTATTTTGCATTTTAGCAGTTTGTCAAGCTTACCACTGTTGACATTTTGGGCTAGATAATCCTTTGTTTTGAGGGATATCTTGTGCATTGTATGCTATTTAATAGTACTTCTGGCTTTGTCCATGGAAATGCCAGTAACAACTGCCCCTCTGTTACCCTCTGTGACAACCAAAAATATCTGCCAATATTTCTAAATGTCCCCTGGTTGAGAATCACTGATTTTGACTTTTAAATGAAAAGCATGAATATTAGTGATGAATTTTTAGGCATTAGTTTACCAAGTGGGAAAATGTTAAGGAGTGAAAAGCACTCCAAAAATTTTGCAATGTGGTGAATATTTACTTGCCTATAATGCAGATGGTCCTTTTTGTTTAATATGTTTGATTATAAGTTATTTAATCTTTAACTTGTACTGATGTTACTATTATGCACGTTGGCTATCATCAGAGGATTTTTTTTTAATATGAAGACACTTCATTATTTTTTTACTATGTATTAGTTATTACCCCAGATTGCATTTTCTCAAGTGGCAAGTGAAACACAGGATAACATTTCTCTTTGATTCTGAGTACTTTGGTTCTGTCATTTGGAGGGTACAGTTTCTTATGACGTCTATGCTACTATCCACAAAGATACCAATGGTGATTAATAGTAAAGAACATTTTGCTAAGGTTTTGTTCTCTCTTGCTCAAAGTGTTCACCTTTTTCTTCTATTCTGGTTTTCAGCACTTGATCATATGTTTCTTCATCATCATGTACAGGATCTGGTTGAGGGATAGGTTTTATGTGTTCATATGGAATATCTACAGAAGGATGGTAACATACTATCATCCTGCTTTCAAGTGTCGAAGCAAGCTCTACTTTGCAATTGTATTTATCTGGAAGAGAAGAATATGTAGATTTATGACAAAATATAAAGCTCTGTTTCAAATTGGAAATAAAAGTTTCAGGATAGTTCTGTTTGATATCACCCATGTTACTGCTGCTAGTACCAAGGTGAATCAAGAAACTATTTTCATCCCTTGACAGTCGGTCAGTGCAAGGCCACCATCTTGCCTCAGTCTATAGAGGATTTTGGATCTAAATATGTCCGGAATCTGTGTTAACCCCCACCACAGTCTAGAAATTGTTATTTTAAAAAAATACTATCCATTTAAAGTCTTTCTTTTTCTTATATAAATATGGTAGAGTATACAATTTTAAATTTCATGTATTTTAGCTTTCTGATTCTTGGATTCCAGAAAATTACCTCTTTATCTGGCAAAACTACCTCTTTCTGCATGCAGAAGAGTTTTAATGCAGCAATTTTCAGTTAACTGTAGAACTAGAGATTTGGGGAGAGATCAAGAAAGTTGTGCAGTTTCATCCAACAAATATGGCTTGGAGGCACTAAGTACTAAGACTGCTATAACTCAGATATAGATTAAATCCATCAAAACATCACCACCTAGAAAGGGAGATAGGACTCTATTTTTTATTTATTTATTTTTAAAGATTTATTTATTTATTTATACATACAAGCACTGGGTACAGTCAGAAGTGCGGGAGGGTGAGAGAATTCACCAGAGACAGAGCGGGGAGCAGAGCAGGCAGAAGGACCGAAGTACACTGCTGAGGGGAGCAGCGGGCAGTAGGAGAGGTCTGCGCGCCATGTGGGACCCTCCTCAGGTGGCCGGGGAGCAGCCGGGGATCGAACCGGCGCTGCGGAGGCTGTGGGCAGCTTTGCAACCCAGTGCTCAACTGCTGCGCCACCAGGGAGGCCCCAGGACTTTAATTATATTAAAAGTAAGGAGCGTTTTAAAGAAATACAGTACAGATTAAGTATTGTAGATAGTTAAAGAGAGGTGATTAGCTCTAGCAAGGGATGAGAGATCAGATAGAAGTCTTAGGCATTTGTATAGGACCTTAACAAATGATTTGTATTTATAGAACTGGAGAAGTCCTATTTTAAGTGGATGAAAGAGCATGTATCCAGAACACATACAGAAATCAAAAGTAATTGTTTGGATATCTGTAGGGGGCTTGGAATGACATAGTGAAGTTTAATATGTGACTAGGGTGATATTTCACTTTTATGGGAAAAGGCGTTTTATTAAATGTTGCTAATGCCATTTCCTGTTTATAATAAAACTAAACTCCTTTATCATAAATAATTTATAGAATAAGTTATATATCTATATGAAGAAATTATAATATTTATGTAGTTGGAGTGGAAATGGCATTTTTCAGTGAGAGGAAGTCTAGATACTGTAAAAGGAAAGATCTGCTATAATAAACTTAAAATGAGTAATTTTTATTAAAGATGATGTGCAAACTTTTGACCTAGTGATTTTATTTTTTTGTGTTGTTGCCTTTAAAAGCAAAAGCCCTGTGGCCTCCCTGGTGGTGCTAAGGGTTAAGTCTCAGTCATATGAAGCTATCCACAGCACAAGTTTGATCCCCCAACAGGTGAGTGGAGGGGGGGAGACAGACCCATATGGCGCAGCAGACCTCTCCTGTCTTGCCCACTGCTCCCCTCAGCAGCGTATTTTGATCAGCCCACCTGTTCTGTTCCCTACGCCATCTCTGGTGAATCCTCTCACCTCCCCACCCCCCCACACCTCTGGCCTGTACCCCAGTTCTTGTATGCATAAATAAATAGATCTTAAAAAAAAAAAGCTCTGATATATAAAGGTATATGTAAAGAGATATTAATGATGCATTATCTGTAGTGGCAAAAAAAAAAAACCCACCAAAAACCTGTTTTTTTGATTGGATATCTGATATATGATTTTTTTTATAGCTGGTAGTATTACTTTGTTTTTATAGCACATCTTTGGCTAGTCTACTCATTTGTCATTGAGCACCTGGGCTTGTTTTTATAGCTCAGCTGTTGTAAATAGTGCTGTAATGAACATAGGAATGCGAATATCCCTTCAAATTCATGTTTTTTCATTCTTTGGGTAGACACCTAGGAGTAGGATTGCTAGCATATATGGTAGATCCATTTTTAAAGTTTTGTGAAACTTTCATACTGTTTTTCATAGGGGCTAGACCAGTCTACATTCTTACCAGCACTTGTTTTTTCTGGTCTTTTTGGTGTGAGCCATTCTCATTGGATTAAGTATCTTTTTTTTTTTTTTAATGTCTTTTTGCCATACAGAAGTTGTTTTTTTTAATTTTAATGTAGTTCCATTAATTTTTGCTTTGACTTTCACACAGTGCAGTACTACTTGGCTACATAAGATGAACCCTTGGTATTGGAAGGGTTGGAAGTGGAGGAGATTATGCTAAGTGAAATAATTCAGGAGGAAGACAATACCTTATGATTTCACTCATGTGGACTATAGAGAAACAAAACAAAGGAACTGAGAAAATTAAGTAAAAACAAACCCTAGAAATTTGACTAAAGAATTCAGACCACTCAATAGAAGGGGATGGAAGGTGAGGGGGGGAACTAAGTAGTGAAAGGCCTAATTGTCTAGGGCAGAGGAATTTGGGTGCTTTGGTGGTGGGCCTGGTGTGGGGACATATGTTTGAGGCGGTAAGAACCTATTCCCTTAAATCATATATAGTGTTGTAAACCATTGTCTCAATAAAAACATTGAAAAAAATATTTTGGAAATATTGTTCATTAGGCAGAGCTTATGTTTATAAAAATATATTTTAGAAAAATCTTGTGTTTTATAGTCAGAAAGACATGGGTTTCTGCTGTGTATTTCCACATCTGTAACTATGTGGAAGGTACTATGCAAACAAAAGAGCTCAGAGTTTTTCAGAAGATGCGTCTATATATAAAATACCTACCATATTTTTACCAGATACCCAGAGTGAATATTAGTACCCTTCCTATTGTAGAGGATAAGTGAAATGTCTTCTGGAAAATTATACGGAAAATGTTGAAAAATATTTAAAAGTTACACAAAGTTGAGTAATTACCAAGGTGTTCATCGTAAATTGAAAACATGGAAAAAAGATTACTGTTCCTACTAGGTAGGGCAGCTTTATTTTATGTGAAAAATTTTTCTATTTATTAGCCTTGTCTGGATTTGAGAAGCTTTTATTGTTTCACAGTAGATTTAATGTGATGCTCATATTCTTTTTGAGAGATGTAGAGAGACTATTCTATTGAATGACTCACCTGTAATCAAGAAAAACTTAGTCAGAATCGAGGCTAAGTCTATGAATTAATAAGGTACATGTATGTTTCCGATAGGAGTAACATCATGAACACTATTTAGTAGATACCTTTGTTTAAGTGATAAGACACTAGAAGGGAATAAAAAGCCATGTAATAAATGATCCGGTAATGCTACTTTAAAAATTTCAAACACTGAATTTCATTATATATATTTCTTTTGGCTGGTAAAATCAGAAAGCCCATCTTTAAGTTTTAGTGTAAGAGTAATACAAAGTCAGTGAAAAACAACATTGTTAGTGGACATGATTTGTACAATGTAATTTGTGCCCTTTTAGCTTAAAGAGTTTTTCCAAGTAAAAAAATGCATTTATTTGAAGAAGAGCTATTGCACTTTATAATCACAAGGAAATTTAATATTAAAAATGCCAAGTTTTTTGGCTTAAATTTGAAGTCACAATCAAGACTGAAATCTGTCTGTATTACTATATATTTCAAATTACACATAATTTTAAGCTATAATTTAAGCCATGGTTACAGATTTATTGTATAGGAGTATACTAAAAGTATAACCTTATATTTATAGGACTTTTGGTTTAATTCTCTACAACTTCAAAATAGTATTGTGATATGAAACAACAGAATTTTACTCTGATTATATTGTACTCTGATAAAAACAAGCTCTGAACTGAGTCCACTGAATTTTTCTAGAGAACTCACTTTTCATAAGCAAGTATTCAGTATTATATATTAGGAAATCATAATATTATTAGAACTTGAATTTTTCTTTAACCCTCAGGATTTTGAATATATTTCAGGACAGTTGCAGTTAAACTAAATTTTGAGGATATCTTAACTACATTAGAGATAAATAAGATCTTAACACATTTTCAAATCATACTGTTAATGTGCAATGAATCTATTCTCTGAAGACTAAGAACTGTCCTTACTTGAAAAAGACAGTATTTGGTCTTTATATGCAGTTGAGGTTTGGTTTTCTTTCTAAACGTTCCTTTACTAATTTTTCCAAAGAGAAGAGATGCTCATCTGCATCTTCTGGCACAATGTTTCTAATAGAATTTGCAAGTTCAAAAAGATATTCTGTATTTCTTCCACTAGGACCAGCTGCATTAAAAATTTGTTCAGCAATGTCTTCCAAAGGTGCAGGACCAAGATAATTAGGATTATCACATGTTCCAATATATAGCAACACACTGAATGGTTTTGTTGTGGGATCTTTCGGATAAAAAATGACTGTTGTTGTCATGTAGCCGCCTTTCTCTCTGAAATCAAGGTATGCTTTTACTTCTTCTTCCTTTCCTACTGGCAATCTGTAAGCAACACCCCATACACAACCCTGTGAAAAATGAGAAGGATATATCATTTAATTTTACAAGGCTAAATAAAGTTGAAGACCTATGCAGTGTGATCTAAGAAAATATCTTTTATATTCTTAGAAAAATCAAGGTAGTTTTCTTCACTTAAAAGTATACCGACTATGTACATACTTAACTGTAAAGACAACATTTAATATTCTTAATTTTGAATAAACATTTTTCCTGTGTTATATACATATCAGGATGTTTATATTTTCTTAAATTTTAAAAATTAGGCCTTTTTCTTTTAACTAAGGACTGAAATGAAAAATAGGTCTTCACTTAATCAGTAAAAATGTGGTAAAGCTTTAAATCCTCATCCTTTTACATACAGGTTTTTTTCTTATTTGCAGAGAGGATTCTATATTTTAAAAGCTCTATAATCACCCACTTAAGTCTCATTTTATTTGTTCCTATCTTCACTGAACTTATAAAACTCCTTTGTAAATTACTCCATCCAGAATGCTAAAGGAGCTCATGAACAAAGAGTTGGTAAAAACAATGTACCTGAGCTGTAAAGCACTTAGTTTTAAAATTTTTTAACAAGTTATCTGTGATACAAGCAAGACTTACAGTTTGTAATGCAGATTTTCTAGTTTCTTTAGTTATTATATTAAGCATTTTAGTTACTAACATTCTTGAATGAATTAAAATTCTATGGAAAGTGTCACTAGTTAACTGTTTAATTAGGAGTGACAGCATTTGAAGCCATTTTTATAGTTTTTCTTTGAATATAAATTATGAAAGTATTTCTTAATCTGTATCATTCATCTGCTATTGTTTTAGCTGCTTGGTTTTTGTATATCCTTTCAAAAGTAAAATCTTTAACTTCGCAATACAACATTTTGAATCTAAATTCCAACGAAATGGGGTATTTTTGAAATGCTAATATTTCAATATCTTGAAATATTGAAAATATTTTAGAAGCAGGACTATTGGGTAAGTAAAAGTTTTCTGGTGTTGCATACATGTTCAAAAACCTGTTTTGCCATTTATATATTAGGCAGTAAAGAAAGTAAGATATCCTGACTAGATTTTTGCTGTTAGATTCAGAACAAATTTGAGGAGAGCTTTAAAGATTCCATTTTATTAGTGGTAGTCTATCAGTCTCAAAAGGGGATTGCAAAATTCTCAGTCAATAAATTCATTAAGAAAAAAAGAACTATATGCCATTTAGTTTTATTTTGTTGTCTACCTTGCATTCTACATTCCAACTTCTCCACTGGCCTCATTTCTACAGACAAACATGAAAGAAACACAACAGAGATAGAGGAATTCTAGATCTAGTGTAAACAGAATTTTCTGTAATGACTAGTAATAAACTTCATTGATTATTAAATCGGAGAAACATCTCAAAATTTGATGTGATTGAAGACTACAAAAAAGAATAATTATACCATACCCCAGGATCTTCAACAAGAGTGACAACTCTTCCAGGCTGTTTTTAAGTAAAAAAAAAAAAAAAAAAAATTTTTTTCTGAGTTAAAAGTTCATTAAGCATTAGCAACTTATTATTGACATACTTTAACTTCATTTGCTCATAGTAAGCACTTTTATAATAGATAAATTTTAAAATGAACTAAGTACAATGACGTACTTATCTCCAAACAATCTTGTCTTTTCTAAGATTCCTTTGGATTTGTATTTATTACATATATTATGTTTACTTAAAATGGATATATTTAAAAACACACCAGTAACTAAAGTTCATCTAAAATGAAAGGCAAAGGAAGAAGCAATTATAAATAAAAAGTTTTAGTCATCCCATCCCCCCCCTTTGGGGAAAATGATTTTATAGTTCTATTACAGAACAAAACATGACATTCCAAAGTGCTTTCCTATGCAGAAGTGGTTCTTGAACTTTAGTATAGATCAGAATTACTAAGAGTGCCTGATAAATACTCACTTCTAGGTCTCATTCCCAGTTTCTTATTCTGTAGGTCTGGAGCTGTCTCAAAATTTTCCTTTTCTAAAAAGTAAGATTCCTACCTGGCACCAAAGGCTATGTATCTACTGACATGTTGACATCATCAGTGAGAATGTTGAGTTGTAAACCACAATTTTACCTATTTGTATGCCCATTGTTTAGGACAGAGTAAGCCCTCAGTCATCCAGATGTTCGTGTAATTTTTATTATTTCATCCTAGTTTTTGTCCATTTGTATAAATAATTTATAATCATGTAACACATTAGATTTTGGCTTATGTTTCTTGTTTCATTATGTTTTCCTGTTGGTTTTGCCATACACTTAATGGTTGTATAATATTCCATCATAAACTATAATTTGATTTGTTTTCTATTAAGGGTAATGCTATAATGAGGATAATACATATATTGGCATAGGTTATATAGGTATGGCCACATTACTTTCAACTTAAGTACAAATTAGGAGCTATTTTATTGCATCAGAGAAGATAGAACCTTAATTCTTGCTTTCAAGAACTTATACTGTAATTTTGGAATATGAACATTTGAAATAAGTAGAGAATAAGGGCTAAGATGTATGGTATCTATTAAGTGCAATAAGGATTCTGGTTTGTAGGTGGGCAGAAAGAAAAACAAAGTTTGGCAAAACAACACCATGATTGGGGGCCTCCCTGGTGGCGCAAGGGGTAAAACACAGTACTATAAAGCTGTTGCGGCCTCTGCAGCATCCCCTGGCCAGGGAACAACCCACATGGCACAGCAGACCTCTCCTGTCTCTCCCGCTGCTCCCCTCAGCAGTGTATTTCAGTCACTCTGCCTGTTCTGTTCCCCACATTGTCTCTGGTGAATTCTCTCACCGCTGTCCCCCTGACTCCCCACACCTCCCTGTACCCCAGTTCTTGTATGCATAGATAAATAAATCTTTAAAAAAAAAAAGTACATCATTACTTATGAATGAGGGCCTAGATAAGTACGACCCCATCAGGCCAAATGTCTTGACTATAGGGATGGACCCCTATGGAGGGAAGATGATTCAGAAAGATAACTGGATAAATAGGACCAGAGTCAAATTTGAAATGCCAGAATTCAGCTGAAATGGCGTTGAAATCCAGACAATGGAGTTGAAGTCAGAGGATATTAGGAAAAAGAAAGCTACTAGAATTTGGGAGAAATAGAAAAAAGGAGCAACTGAGCACTTGAGTAGTAGGGAACTGGCATGATCAAGGAAGTACACTGGGAAGATTGAGAACGTGTATAGTTATCAAGTTTGAGTGGAAGGAGGTAGATGCTCAGTAAGAAATGTTTAAGGTCCAGGTGCTAAGTTCTACACTCCACCTGTCCTTGTCTCCCCTTCCATCCTGCTTAGTCACCAATTCTAGGTAAGCTCTGTCTTCTGATTACTAGATGAATCTGCTTCATCTTTATCCTTCATTTGCTTCCTTAGGCATTTCATTGCCCTTCCCGTTTAGTTTCCCTTAAGTCTGGTACTTTTGATGTAATGACCCTCTGGTGCAAAAACATTAGGCTACACACTCCAGTGCTTTGAATTTTTCAGGGTTGTTAATATTCTACAGAATTAGATAACAATTTATTAGAACGACTTAACTATAACCTCTTTTACCACTCTTCCCCTGAAGTTGTGATGAATTATTTATAACTTTTATACACATTCATGTATTTGAATATACCAGTGCCCAGTGCAGAATGCCTTTCCTCCCTTTATAACCTTGGGATATTTTCCCACTACTTTCTCTATAAGGCCGTAGCTGACTCCTCTTAAATTCATATTGCTTATTTTAAATTTAAATTTGCAAATGTACTTAAGTAGATTTGTGTGTATGTGTGTGTGTGTGTTGGTTTTTTTTTTTTTTTTTGGCATTGAAACTGAAGACAGGGTCTTTCAAGCTGAGTAGAACTAGAGGATGTTGTGAAATATGAGTCATGATGGGCGTTTTCATTGGGTAATAAGTAATGTTTCTGCTTATCTAGGTAGGGATTTAGTAAATGTTCACGATTATCTCATGTTAAAATGTTTCCTCTTTTTGAAATTGAAGTATATTCTCATGTGAAAAAATTTTCATGTTTAAATAAATCCTTAATTTGGTGAGAAATGGCCAGTTTTATGTTATATAGACAAGATACTTAATTAAATTCAGGGACAAATTAAAGTTTAATGGAGCTAAAAAGTAAGCATAATTTAATAAAGCAAGTAGGTCCATATTTACCCCACAAATGTCACACTGCAGTGTGTGGATATGAGTATTTGTTTAATAATATCATATTTCACATGTAATGACTTAAAAACCATAGTCCTATATAGCATCTACATTCCTTTTTTAATTTACTGGGTATTTCTGTAGGCTTTTGTATTCTTTTCTTAAAGTTTACATAAAGCTAGTGGTCCATTAATAAATGTAAAGTAAATGTAAAATGTAAAGTAAAATAATAATGCCCTTACTATTTTTTTAACCAAACAATATGCTTAGAAATTGTCTAGTACTTAGACTTTAATTTGCTATGATGGATTCTTTAAATAAAAGTAGATGTAAAACTATTAGTGGTTGCATTATTTTCCCCCTAATGTATCTGCCCTGTATTTCAGTAAATTTAAGTAAAAGGAGATGCTGGCTTTTATAGTTTCCTTCTTTTAAAGTCAGGAACTGTTGTGTTGACTCAACAATTTCTTATCAATCTTTTTTGACAGTGTAATATCTCAAAGTGCTATGTAACAAGCACATCACACATTTTGGTTGGGACTAGTGTAGCAAAGTATGTTATTTATAACTATATTCATAAGTATTTAATACTTGGTCATTAAAATTGGAGCCTGAGTTAGGGCTTTTCTCTTAAGAATGGTGATTTTAAGCATTCATATTTGTCAGCTCAAGGTATTTTATTCAGCTCAGTTCTTTAGAGTCTTCAATATTGTTTTATTTGAGCAGTTTATAACATTCTTGGACATAACTTGACCATGAAGTTTCTGCTGTCCCATAAATGTTTGCCTTAAGTCACTCCCGGTTTCAAGTTATCTGGCTGCCTTGAAATCAGATTCTTAATTTACCAACTCTAGTTGAACTCAGGTTCTTTTTGTGATTTTAAATCCTGTGTCTTTTTTATGAGCAGAGGCAAACTAAGTTTTAGCCATTCCCTCTTTTGTCATGACTGCAGGTATTTCTTTGGAATTAACCCCAACCTTCTACATCTGATTTCTAGCATTGTAGATATTTTGCTTTTGTGCTATTATTATTTTTAAAACACAGTAATCAAAGTCATATAATTTTCAAAAGTTTTTAACAGAACTATAAACAATAAAAATGTACTCTTTCAAAAAAGTTAGGAGTGCTCAAATTATCAGAATTGTTGCACAAAATGCAGTTTTCCTTAGTGTTTTGGGGGGCAGCCGAATACAAGGGTGATTTGCATAAGCAGTGAAATGCTCCTAAAGCTGGACACATATTGAGATAAATGTCTTTGCATGGTTGACTGAAAGACAGAGGAAAGTCACATTGATAATTTGGGAAACCATGGAGAAACATTAACATAACGATGGATGGAATTTTCCTGCATTTGGGATGGTAGTGTAAGCGTAGATTCAGATTGGATTTCATTCTCTACCTGTGTACTTAGAATATTTTAAATAAATTTGCGTATCTGTAAAAAATATGCTGGCTGTATTAATGGGTACAGTGTCACCAATATAACAAACTGGGAATTCCATTTAACTTTAGTTCCTGACAACCAAAGTGATCAGAGTAAAAGCTCCTTAACAACTGGAGATACTTTTGGAAACAAGTTTTTATATGACCTTAGGTGACATTAAAAAAAACAAAACAAAAAAAAAAAACTTTGGACAGATACAAAGAAACCCCAGAAATAAGCTACGTTTTAAAACCAATGAAAATTTTCCAGAATGCATAAATGCCAACAAATTACCCAAAAGCTGAATTTCTAAGTTGATTTTAGTATTTAAACGCCGTGGTAGTGCGATGACTGAACTTCTCGCCTGTTTTTTTTTGGGGGGGGAGGGGTTGGGGGGTCAGAGGTTGTCAAGAGATGGGGCTCCCTCGCAGGACGCCGGCCCCGCGCCGGTGCCTCTCGCCTCAGAAACGACCCACCCGGAACTCGGGCGGCTTCGCGGGGAGTGAGCTGGGAGCGATGGAGGGGGCAGGTGGCCCAGGAGGAGGCGCAGATAGATTATTACCCGAACCCACGAGCTCGGGGGCGGTGGACTGCGGGCCTCGCGGGGCTGGGCTCCGAGTTGGGGGAACTGGCTGGCGCCTCACCTTGCCGGGGACCCCGCGGTGGTCGGTGCTGCCCTGCCAGAAGCGCCTGCTGTAGCCTGTGATGTATCCGACCAGCTTGTCCTGATAAGGGAAATCCACCTTCCAGATCAGGGACCCGTAACCAAACACCCACATTTTCCCCGTTATCCGCCGCCGCGGCTGGCGCCTCAGCTGCGGTCTCAGGGGTGCTGGCGGGATTGCAGTGTCCCCGGCGCGAGTATCTGGCTGCGCAGGCGCAGGCGCGGGCGCTTTGGCCTCACAGCCGCCTTGGGGCGCAAAGCACACTGGGACTTGTAGTTCCATTTCTCGGTTCAGCCTTCTTTAGCCTTTAGATATCAGAAAGCGTTGTCATGTATAGTAAGCCGTGGCTCCTTTTAGCGTTTCTGGAAATCACCCTTCCGTCAGATGCGCTTGTGCAGATGACTACTATACCCACAATCCTTCGTAGGTTTTGTGGTTTTGAGGTTGGCAACTGTTAGCATTTTACGGAGGAGCAGAAAAGGGCAGGATCAGTGGCTGGCGAGGTCTAGATACCGGGAGGAGCTTTATGGGCACCGCAGATGGCACTTAGACATTTTGTTCTACTTTGAAAGTTGGATATATGCCCACATGATAGCAGCCAGAGGAGCACAAGCTGGGAATGTAATCGTATTGGACTATTTTTATATTATATATATATTACGTATTTGAGTTTTATGTGAAGGGGCCTTATTCATCTTTAGTATTCTCAGCAGTTCACTTAGAAAAGAGTAGGGAAAACTTAGTTCTTGTACATTTGGAGGCCATCTGGGAACCCTCCTGAAATTATACACAAAATTTGGGCCTGTGTGTATTTTTCTGGGAAGAAGTTTTTATAGTTTTCATGAATTTCTCTAACGAATTAAGGATCCTCAAAAATGTTAAGATCTGCTGGATAGAGCTGCTGCCCAAAATATTGCTTTGGAAGCTTTCTTGGATTATCATGGTTGTGTTTCTGAATGTGAAAACAGAAGCCTTTCAACATGATTGTTTTTTATCGAGGACTTCTATTTCATGGTCTTTAACTTAATTTAAAGAATTCTAAAATACCCAAGCACAGAGTATTATTTGTGGTTCAAAAAAATCCCGGCGAGGGCCTCCCTGGGGGCCTAGGGGTTAATTTCCAGTATGCTCACCGCTAAGGCCTGATTTGGATTCCTGTGCCAGGGAGCTAACCCACATAAGGGGCAGGACAACTCTTCTGTTTTGCCTGCTGCTCCCCTCAGTAGTGTATTTCAGTATATACACCTGTTCTGCTCCCCACTCTGTCTCTGGTGAATCCTCTAGCCCCCCTCTCCCACCTTTGACCTACATCCCAGTTCTTATATGCAAAAATAAAAAAAATAAGTAGATAAATAAATATATAAAAAAGATTTTCACTTGTATTAAAGTAGACTTGTTGACATTTCCTGAACCTACTACCTGAGATCTTTAGAAAATCTAAGAGCATGGGTGGGATCAGAATGTTATTGAGAACTACTGCTTGGAGTAAATATTCTCCTGAGAAGCCTGAATCTTAGTGCAGCCTGCCTCATAGAGTGACTAACAAGACATTGTATTTGTGAGGGTCATAATACCGAGAGCTATGCTGTATGCTAATTCCTGGGGAAACTCACATGAACTTTGAAGGGAGATAATGAGGAAAAGGACAATAATGCTAGGAAGAACGAAATTTCTGGACTGTGGAGGAAAGTTGGACTCCTCTCTTTATAATGTTCTTTGTCCATTTCAGTATATTCAGTAAGTGGGGTTCTTTCATCAAGGAAAGAAAATCTGAGGGTTTAGCTTCCTAAAATAACTAGAATTATTGCTTGTCTTTGTGTTTTCATGTCTTTCATTCTTTTTGTAGCCTTTTGGGTTTTGCTTATTACTTTTGGGGTGTAAATTAATACTTTTATTTTTTAAGATTTATTTATTTATTTATTTATTTATTTATTTATTTATTTATTTATTTATTTATTTATATAAGTACTGGGTACAGTCAGAAGTACGGGAGGGTGAGAGAATTCACCAGAGCCAGAGCGGAGAGCAAAACAGGCAGACTGAGGAAGTACACTGCCGAGGTAGTACACAGCAGTGGGTGGCAGGACAGGTCTGCATGCCATGTGGGACCCTCGCCCAGGTGCTGGGGATTGAACCTGTGCTGATCGAACCTGCACTGCAGAGGCTTCAGGCAGCTTTGCAACCCAGTGCTCAACTGCTGCCACCAGGGAGGCCCGGTACAAATTAATTCTTAAGACAGCATTGATGGTAGCTAAATGGCCATGTCTGCATAATAAAGTATGCATTTGTGATTAGCTGAAGGTATGTAATTCTTTATTATCTATAGAGTTCCAGTGAGTGCATTTGGTAGCCTATAAATAGTAACATAAGTCTGCAGAAAGGAGCTGCTTGGACATTTCCATGGAAGGAAAGATAGAATACGTAGAACTCCCTTGCTATCTTTAATAAGAATGTTCCAAGGATTCTTAATTCACCAAAACTCAGAGACTTTCTGCTTTAGATTGCAGTAGAGGCTGTGGCTTGACAGTTGACTTCTCTCCCTCAGGCTCTTCCTTAAGCAGTCATGTGAAAGATGCTAGACAGGCCCTTTTGCCATGTGTTAATCTTTAAGAGTACATGTTTTATTGATTATTGTGTTTTCTTTTTATTTTGTTTTGTAGACTGGTCAAAAGAATGGATTTTACAGAGGCTTATTCTGACACATGCTCCACAGTTGGACTTGCTGCCAGGGAAGGCAATGTTAAAGTTTTGAGAAAACTCCTCAAAAAGGGACGCAGCATTGATGTTGCTGATAACAGAGGATGGATGCCAATTCATGAAGCAGCTTATCACAACTCTGTAGAATGTTTGCGTATGTTAATTCATGCAGGTAAAGTAAATTCAAAGTATGGGAGGGTAGGCACAGCGGGATTAATAACGCAAACAAATGGTAATACATGACTTATTAACAATAATATTATTTCCCTTTTTATAGCCATAAAATAACTGCCTACAGTTTGTTTATTAAGAATGGTAAGATTGTCTGCCTTGGATTATATCAGAATGGTGTTCCAACTGGATATCTGTAAAAATCCTTTATGTAGATGTGCTTGTGCCTGGCGCCTTTTTACTGTCAGAGCTAGGTGATGTGGCAAAAGTAGTCTGTGGTTTTAATGTAAACATTTGGTAGTTACTGGTCATGTTTATTCTTTCTTCCTTTTCCAAACAATATGAGCACATACTGTTGCTGAAATTGAGGGTGTGAATGTTTAACTTGTATTAACCTGTTTTTTTTTTTTTAAATACTTTCCTGTTTCCCTTAGTTTGGGAATCGTTCCAATTACTTTGACTTTGTATTTTCTGGGGACACAGTACAGAAGAGAATAGAAAAGTTAACTTCCTTTGTGGTCTTTATATTCAGGGTTGTTGAACAATAAATACCTAAACAAAAAAGATAATTTCAAAAGTTAAAAGGTCTTGTGGAGAAAATGGAGTAATGGGACAGGGAGTAATCATGTGCAGCTACACATTATTTCCAACTGTATGTTAGGTTGACTTCATGCTTATAACTTGAGATCTGCAATGTGGGAATATTTACACCACAGAAATCAGCCACTGCTACAAACCCAGTTTTTTTCCCCTATTAGAGAGTCAGCTTAACATGAACCATCACACCATTGAGTGGAAGACTTGGTGAGATTAGGCTCAATGAGAGATTCAGACACTGGGGAAATGGGGAAGGAAGAGGAATAACGTGACTGGTCATTGCTTTTTAACAAGCATCTATTGCTTTTTAACAAGCATTGTATTAGATGCTTGTCTTATGTTACCTATTATATGCAAAACTGTTACTGACTCATTGTTAGCCCCATTTTATTGGTGAAAAGATCAAGAGAACTTTTGACTTATCTAAGGTTATGTAACAATAACTAGTGTATTTGATTTGAACCCATTTCTCTTTGACACTGAAACTCCAATTTTTCCCACCGTAGCACGCTTCCAACATTTAATCAAAGTGAACATTTGAAACATTCAGTTAATTTAAACTGAGGTTGAATATTACATTCCATATTATAGCATTCAGTGAGCCATTTACATTCCACTGATCACGAATATTCAGAGTCGTCTTCTCTGTGTACTTGCCATAACTAGGTATATTTTCCTAAAAATTTAGATTTCTGGGTTCGTAGCTCATTAGAATGATTAACTCTCATTACCTCATGAGTGGGAAAGGAATCCCCCAACTCATAGCGCAGGATATTTGCCATTACTGCTTTTTAAATCACATGTTGTAATGTCTATTGTAGTTGAATATTTAAAGATAATACAAAAATACACTTTATGCCTCACATTTGAAAAACTTAGTATGGGGCCTCCCCGGTGACCTAGCGGTTGAGCTCTGGGTTGTGAAGCTGTCCGCAGCCTCTGCAGCACCGGTTCAATCCCCGGCTGCTCCCCGGCCACCGGAGGAGGGTCCCACATGGCGCGCAGACCTCTCCTGCCGCCCGCTGCTCCCCTCAGCAGTGTACTTCGGTCCTTCTGCCTGCTCTGCTCCCCACTCTGGCTCTGGTGAATTCTCTCACCCTCCCACGCTTTATAAATAAATAAATAAATTTAAGAAAAAAGTAAAAAACTCTCCAAAAATTTGTTAAAAAAAAAAATTTTAAAAAATAAAAAATTTAGTATGTATTTTCAGAATCTGAAGTTGATTATGTAGCTTGAGTTTGCAGACTAGCTCTAGTGACACAGAAATGTATTTGAATATTCTTTTCTAGTCAGAAAGCTCATCCTGATGTACTGTTCTTTCTCTTTTCATGTCAGAATAGTTATTTTACAATTTTTCCCTTCAGCTGCTGAATAGATTTAGTGCATTTTATTATTTTAGAAATGCAGTCTTCATTAACTCTAAGACTGTAGTCCTAAATTAGGAAAAGAATATTCTAAACTACATTCATATTATTAGTTGAGTACAAGAAGTAATGTTAGAGATGAGAGCATTTCCCTCATGGAAATGTAGAAATAAATCAAATTTATTTGTATTTCAGTAATAATAACAACAACTTTTGCTTAAGCAGTGTTTGCTTCATCTTCTTCAGATCTTGCTTTTTGTGTCACCTTTCATCTTCTGTTGCTCTCCTCTTAACCATCAAAAATTAGAGAATTTTGGGGCAGTGTTTGTGTGTTAAAAATACCAGGGACTGTTCACACTGTGACTTCTGTAGTGTTTCTTGATTTTCTGGAGTTCTAAACTAGGAGAGTTCCTACTTAAGATTACTTATATTTCATTAAATTTTTCTTGGAATCTTTCTTTTTTAATTCCAAGAAGTAGATAAGATCTTCTACTTGTTTTTTTTCTATTTTTTCTTAGAGTCGTCGGAAAACTACATTAAGACAAAGACTTTTGAAGGCGTCTCTGCATTACATCTTGCTGCAAGTCAAGGACATTGGAAGATTGTACAGATTCTTTTAGAAGCTGGGGCAGATCCTAATGAAACCACTTTAGAGGAAACCACACCACTGTTTTTAGGTGAAGTATGCTATTTGTGGTACAGATGCAGTTATTTTACTTTAATTAATTAATAATTTTCTAAAGTAACAATGTTTCATTTTCCCCTAGAGATATTATATTTATAATTTATTCCATGACAAATATTATACTGCCCCTTTGATTCTGACACCAAAGGTATATTTTTAAAAGTTCTGCCCTTGTTTTCTATCTTTTGGTGATAACATTTGGGAATATCTTTAAATGTTTATTTAAAGTTGTAAAATCCGTTCTGAATTTAGTCGCCATTGCTGCTGTCCTCAGTGTCCTTTTGAAGACCAGGTAGAGCTTAGTAGTAGTAGTAGTACTTAAAAGTTTACCTATGACTGTTTTACATTTTCATTTGCTTTTTCTTAGCATTAAGAAATCGGTGTTAAAGACTATACTTTCAGGGATCATTTCTATAGTTCGTTACTAGAGAAGTTTCTCTGATTGTGTAGAGCACCGGAAACCACGAGGAGGAGGCGCAGCGTCCTTTCCTGAGTGTGAAGCCGGCTCTGAGTGTTGCTTGCGCAACTGCTCCTTGCCATTGATGATCGTTCTTCTCTCCATCCTGGGGAGTTAGAGGGAGAGGACGCAGTCTGAGTGGCTTCTGTTTGTGCTATAGTTGCTAGGAATAGATGTAACTGGTTTGTTTTTTCCTTTTTAGCTTATGGCTTCATTGTGATTTGTTGTGTTAGAGCAGTACCTTAAATTAAACTGCAGACACTTTCATGTACTGAGTATTATGGTTCATGGCCCTCATCAAGCAAGTGCCGGGTGGTCTGCATGAAGGGTGTGCTAAATGAGGAAGAGCGCAGTTAAGTCTACAGTTTTCTAATCATTGATTTTTTTCTGTGGGTCTAAGTGAAAAGGTTTGAGGCATAATCAAAGACAACTGTCAGGGGCCTCCCTTGGTAGCACCAGGGGCTAAGTCTCAGAGCTATCAAAACTATCACCAGGTACAGAAGACCTCTTCTATCTCACCAGCTGCTCTCCTCAGCAGTGTGTTTCAGTGGATCTGCTTGTTCTCTCTGCTTTGTCTCTGGTGAATCCTCTCACCCACTCCACCCCACCCTGCTCGTCTGGCCTACACTCCAGTTCTTGCATGCATAAATAAATAAAAATAAATCTGTAAAAGAAACCCCCCCCCAAAAAAAAAATCAGTGTTAAATGGAAGAAATCGCAAGCTAATCCATTAATGCCAGTTAATTTGTTGCCACTATTGGTCACTATTGAGACTTCTTCAGTTATGAACTTTGTTTGTTTTTAAAGATTTTTATTTATTTATACAAGAGCTGGGGTACAGGCCAGAGGCATGGGAGGGTGAGAGACTTGACCAGAGACAGAGCAAGGAGCAGAACAGGTAGACTGACCAAAAACACTGCTGAGGGGAGCAGCGGGCACCACAGGAGAGGTCTGCAGTGCCATGTGGTGATCTCCCTGGCCCGCCAGAATAGAATCTGCACAGCAGAGGCTGCAGACAGCTTCACAGCGCTGCGCTCAACCCACTGCACCTCTGGGGAGGCCCCAATGAACTATTTTTTAATTCCTTAAAGACAATGGCCAGATTCTAAATGGCACATTTCAGTAACTTTTCCCCTTCTTCCCTTTGAATGTATTTGTCTTCAGGGACATTATGACTCATAAAATAAGGTGGAACATGAGGAAATAACATTTTGTATAGTCACTGTATCTGGACTAAAGTTTTGGTCTCACCATATGTAATTTGTATATTTATTTATTTGCTATGTGCTTCAGTTTCTTCACTAATACAATGAGAGTAATAGTACCTAACTAATCTTTATTGGGCTGAAAATAAAATGTCTATGAAAGTATTTTTCCTTTTAATCCTTAAAATTTATATACACTGTAATTCATTGTTTTCAGTATATAGATCTGTGAATTTTGATACATACATAATGACAAGATACAGAATAATCCCATTCTATCAAGTCCTCAAATTCCATCATACTTCCCATTTTCAATCATCCTCTCCGTCCTCCCCTGCCCCCCAACCTTGGACAACCACTGATGTTTTCATCCCTGTGTTTAGCTTTTTTGCAGAATGTCATAAATATATTTGGAATAACATGCAGCCTCTTTCACCTACATAATACTTTTAAGATGTATCCATGTTGCTATATGTATCATTTCTTTTTATTACTATATAGTATTCTGTTATAGAAATGTACCCTAATTTATCCATTTACCAGTTGAAGACATTTGAGTTGTTTTACTGCTTGGTAATTATGAATAACTTGTTACAAATACTTACATGCAGATTTTGTTTGAATATAATTTTTAATTTTCTTACATTAACATTTAGGATTGCTGGGTCACTTGTAAATGTATATTTAACTTTGACGAAAAAAATTTTGAGTGTTTCTAATGAACTGATTTTACTGTTTTGTGTTTCCTCCAGTTATGTTTAATATTTTTCAGTTGTCCCACATCCTCAACAACAGTTGGTATTTCTAAACTTTTTCCCTTTTACATTTTAGTTTAGTCTCATTGTCATATTAATTTGCATTTTGTTAATTGCTAATGATGTAGAGTACCTTTTCATGTGATTTTTTGCCATCTTTCCTTTTTTCTCTCTCTCTTTTTTTTTTTGTTTTAAAGATTTGTTTTATTTATTTATGCATACAAAAGCTGGGGTGCAGGCCAGAGGTGTGGGGGTCAGGGGTGGGTGAGAGGCTTCACCAGAGACGGAGTAGGGAGCGGAACAGGCAAATCGACTGAAATAACACTGCTGAGAGGAACAGCAGTCTGCTATGCCAGTGGGTTATCTCCCTGGCATGCCGAGGAACTTAGGCCTCAGGTCACATTGGCTGGTGAGAGCTTGATAGTGTTGAAACTTTAACCCCCGCACCTCCAGGGAAGCCCCTCTCCATTACTTTCGTTTGCACATTTTGTTTGGAATGATAGTAATAATAATAATGGAAATATTCAGTAATGGTACAGAGGATTCTTACTTTCACCAAAATTTTATTCTTTTGCCATATTTGCTTTATCATTTTATTTCTCTGTATATATTTTTCCATACTTTTTTTTCCTTAGCACTTTGAGTTTAAATTATAGACACAGTGCCTCTTTATCTATAAATACTTCCATTATGAACTTCCTATAAGCAATGAAATTCTCTTACAAAACTGCCATATGTGCATCAAAATCAGTAAATTAACTTTGACACAACTGTTATTTCATCTACAGATCTTTTTTAATTTTCCCAACTATTCTACTAATGTAATTCATAGCAAAAATCTTTTTTGTTGCTCTAGGATCCCATCCAGTATCACTTGTTACATTTAGTTGTCATGACTCTTAACCTCTTGTAATTTGGAATATTTTTCAGCTTTTATCTTTTATGTTTTTAATATTTTTGAAGGTTCTGGCCACTTATTTTGCAGAATAATTTTTAATTTTGGCTTATATAATTCTTTCTCTTGATAAAGTTTAGGTTATGCATTTCGAACAGTAATACCACCTAAGTGAAATAGTAACTCAGCAAATCTTACCAGAAAGCATGTTTCATTACTAATAATGTTAATTTATAAAAATACTTTGAATATATGAAAAGTATAATTATTAAATCTTTCATAGAAGACTTCCTGTAATGTGGTTCAAGTTTCCTTGAGGGGAGATAGCTTTTTTTTAAAGTTTTTTTTTCCTACATTTACATTTAACCCATTTTGAATATTATGTACAAATATAAAATTAGCTGCTGTTGAGGCCCAGATGATATGCAATCTCTATTCTAGTTGCTGTTTTCAAGAGGAGGAGTGAATGAAGTGAATTAAGTCTTGTAGAGCGATGAAAGTAAAGGTTGCAGATATTAAAAGAGGGAAAAATAAGTCATCCTGGAGTGATAGAGGAAGATAGATAGTACTGTATTCATTTTAGCAATGACATTTATTTAGCATAGAGTGTATACCCCATGCCCTGTGTCAGGTGTTTTACATAAATTAGCTCATTTCATTGTCCCTACTTTTATAATTGAGGAAGTTACAAAAACCTGCTGGGTTGAGAATCACCCTGCTGTTACCTGTGTACTGGTTAGAATCACATTTCTTGACTTGATTCAGTGAGCTATAAATAGGTGTTCATTGAGAAAAGGGTTCCTGGGCCTCCCTGATGGCACAGGGGTTAAAGACAGCACTATCAAGCTACCCCCAGCCACTGCAGCACGAGTTTGATCCCCGGCTGGCCATGGAGCAACCCACATGGCACAGCAGACCTCTCCTGTCTCACCTGCTGCTCCCCTCAGCAGTGTATTTCAGTAGATCTGCCTGTTCTGCTTCCCTCTCTCTCTGGTGAATCCTCTCACCCCCACCCCCCGCACCTCTTGCTTAAACCGCAGTTCTTATATGCATAAATAAATAAATCTTTTTAAAAGAGAGAGAGAGAAAAGGGTTACTGATCACATATGTGAAATGCTATGTAACTTCCTCTGTTTATCAGTCTGAAGTACCCTGTACTCTGCTATACTGTTAACTCTATTCATAGCTGTTTTCACCTGTTGCAGTTATTTTATTTGATTGCTTCTTTGTTTATTGAGTGTCCCCTCCATTGGAAAGTAAGTTCCATGAGGTCAGAGATTTTATTTATCTCGTTCACTTGTTGTACCTCTCAAACCCAGACCAGTGCCTGGAACATGGTAGGCATTCAGTAAATTATTTGTTGATTGAAAAAATGAAAGTCTTTTACAAAACAATCATTGTCTTAAATTTTATCCAGCACTTTGAAATGTATTTATTTATTTATTTTAAAAGATTTATTTATTTATGCATATAAGAGCTGGGGTACAGACCAGAAATGCGGTGGGTGAGAGGATTCACCAGAGACAAAGTGGGGAACAGAATAGGCAAGGGAGTAGCGGGCGAGTCAGGAGTGTTCTGCTGTGCGCCATGTGGGTTGCTCCCTGGCTGGCTGGGGATTGAACTTGTGCTGCAGAGGCTACGGATTGCTTCATAGTGTGGTGCTTAGCCCCTTGTGCCACC